GGAACTGGATCAGAAGTGGAGAAGCCAGACTTAAACTGGCACCCAAATAGATACCAACATTGCAGATAGTGACTTAACCTCCTGCGCCATAGGGCCATCCCCTATGGTACATTTTTCTTTTGCTCTTTATACTTTCCTATTTTCTTCATTATATAATAACATATATTCTTTTTTAAAAAAATAAAGATTTATTAGGGCTGGCATTGTGGCATAACTGGTAAAGCCACTGCTTGCAGTGCCAGCATCCCATATGGGCACCAGTTTGAGTCCCAGCTGCTCTACTTCCAATCCAGCTCTCTGCTATGGCCTGGGAAAGCAGTAGAAGATGGCCCAAGTCCTTGGGCCCCTGCACCTGTGTGGAAGATCTGGAAAAAACTCCTGGCTCCTGATTTCAGATTGGCCCAGATCCAACCATTATGGCCATTTGGAGAATGAAACAGCAGATGAAAGACCTCTGCCTCTGCTTCTCTATTAATTCTCCCTTTCAAATAAATAAATAAGTCTTTATTTTATTTTAAAGATTTATTTATTTGAGAGGCAAGGTGACAAAGAGACAAAAAGAGCTTCCATTTTTTCTGGTTCACTTCCCAAATGGCCACAACAGCTGGGGCTAGGCTATGCTGAAGCCAGGAGCCAGGAACTCTATGTTGGCCTCCCACATTGATGGCAGGGGCCCAAGTATTTGGGCCATCTTCTGCTGCCTTCTAAGGCATGTTACCAGGAAACTGGATTGCACATGAACCAGCACTCCAATATGGGATGCTGGAATCCCAAGTGGTAGCTTAACTGGCTGTGTCAGAACACAAACTCCAGAATCTCTTAAATAAGATTTGAAAGTTGAACTTAGTCCTTGATCCATTGGCTACAGAATGGATGTTGAGTTAATAAGCCTGAAAACAACATAAATCTCAACATACATCTCTATCAGAGGTCTTGGGTACCAAGGTATAGTCACTGAACAGCAATATTTTGAAAGGAATCTTTTCTTCTAAGCAATAGATCTCAACAGTGGGCTTAAAATAGTCACTAAATCATGTTATAAATAGATGTTCTATCATCCAGACTTGGTTGTTTTATTTATAGAATATAGGTAAACAAACAAACAAAATAGGCAGAGTAGAGTTAGCATAACTCTTAAGGGTCCTGGTGATAAATGAATATTAGCTTCAACTTAAAGGCACCAACTGTATTAGGGTCCCTAATACAGGAGAGTTGGCCTGCATTTTGAAACCTTGAAGACAGGTGTTGACTTGTCCTCCCCAGCTATGAAAGTTCTATTTGCAGCTTCTGCCTAAGGCTGTTTCATCTACACAGAAAGTCTGAGTTAGCATAACCACCTTCATCAAGGATCTTAGCCAGTTCTAGATAACTTGGTGCAGCCTCTCTGCCAATCAGCACTTGCTGCTTCACCTTGCACTTTCATGTGACAGACACGGGCTTCCTTTCTTAACCCTCATGAACGAACCTCAACCAAAGCTTCAAACTTTTCTTCTGCAGCTTCCTCACCTCTCAGACTTTGAAGACTTGAAGATCATTAGGAACTTGTTCTGGATTAGCCTTTAAGGGAACCTGTGACTGGTTTTATTTTCTAACCAGACCACTAAAACTTTCTCTATGACAACAGTAAGGCTTTTCTAGTATCTTATCATTCATACATTTTTCTAGAGTAGCACTTTTAATTTCTTCCAATTACTTTGTTTGTATTCAAACTTGGCTAATTGGTACAAGGGACACAGATTTCAGCCTGTGTTGGCTTTTGACATACCTCTTCACAAGCATAATTATTTCTAGCTTTTGTTTTTTTTTGCTTTTTTTTTAAAAAAAGATTCATTTATTTATTTGAAAAGCAGAGTTACAGAGAGAGAGAGAGAAATTCTTCCATCTGCTGGTTCACTCTCCAAATGGCCATAATGGTTGGATCTGGGCCGATCTGAAACCAGGAGCCTGGAGCTTCTTCCAGGTTTCCCACATTGGTGCTAGGGCCCAAGCACTTGGGCCATCTTCTACTGCTCTCCCAGGCCATAGCAGAGAGCTGGATCGAAGTGGAGCAGCTGAACCTGCGCCCATACGGGATGCCAGCACTGTGGACACTGGCTTTACCTGCTATGCCACAGCACCAGCCCCTCTAGCTTTTGAGTTAAAGCAGAGCTGTGACTCTTTCCCTTGAAAACTTAGAGGCCATTGCAGAGCTATTAATTGGCTTAATTTCCATATTGTGCTGTCTTAGGAAATAGGAAATCCTGAAGAGAGGGAGAGAGTCAACAGAAAGGTCCTAGGTAGAGCAATCAGAACACACACAGCGTTTATCAATTAAGTTTGTCATCTTGCATGAACATGGCTCAAGGTACCCCCAAACAATTAGAATAGTAACATTAAAGAGCACAGCTCAGGGCTGGCGTTGTGGCTCACTTGGCTAATCCTCTGCCTGCGGCACCGGCATCCCATATGGGTGCCGGATTCTAGTCCCGGCTGCTTCTCTTCCAGTCCAGCTCTCTGCTGTGGCCGGGGAAGGCAGTGGAGGATGGCCCAAGTGCTTGGGCACCTGCAACCTCGTGGGAGACCAGGAAGAAGCACCTGTCTCCTGGCTTCGGATCGGCGTAGCTCTGGCCGTGGCGGCCATTTGGGGGTGAACCAACGGAAGGAAGACCTTTCTCTCTGTCTCTCCCTCTCACTGTCTGTAACTCTACCTCTCAAATAAATTTAAAAAAAAAAAAATCTTAAAAAGAAAAAAAAAGAGCACAGTTCAAGTCCCAGCTGCTCCACTTCTTGTCTAGCTCTGTGCTAACATGCCTGGAAAAGCAGCTGAAGATAGTACAACTACTTGGGTCCCTGCCACCCTTGTGGGAAACCCAGATAGTTTCAGGCTCCTGGATTCAGGATGGGACAGCCCCGGCCATTGCAGCCATTCAGGGAATGAAACAGTGGATGAAGGATCTCTCTACTCTCTATGTAACTCTACCTTTCGAATAAATAAACCTGTAAAGAAAAAATCACTGATCAAAGATCTACTGTTCATATAATAATGAAAAAGTTTGAAATGTTACAAGAATTACCACAATGTGACACAAAGTTAGCAAATGCTGTTGGTAAAATGGTGTCAACAAATTTGCCGGGTTCAGGGTTGTCACAAACCTTCAATTGTAAAAACTACAGTATCCTCAAAGTGAAGCACAATAAAATGAAGTGTGCTTGTATTCTACAAGGGTGGACAAAATTGGAAGAACGATGCTTGAATGCCCTCTATACCAAAATTATAAAAGTATTTAACAAAAAAACCATTTGGTACTCTTATGAGATTTCAGGGTTTTTTTTTGTTTGTTTGTTTGTTTGTTTTCCCAGCTGCCTCCCTGCCCTGGAGGAAGAGAAGAAAAGAGAGCCACAACATTGCAACTAATCCAAGAACTTTATGTTGTGTTCAATTTGTGATTACATTAAATGTTAGCTGAGGGGCTGGCACTGTGGCGTACTAGGCTAAGCTCCACTGCAGCGCCAGCATTCCTTACAGACACCAGTTCAAGACCTGTCTGCTCCTCTTCCTATCCACCTCTCTGCTGTGGCCTAGAATGTAGAAGATGCCCAAGTTCTTGGGCCCCCACATCCGCGTGGGAGGCCCAAAAGCTCCTGGCTCCTGGCTTTGGATCGGCCCAGCTCTGCTGTTGCAGCCATTTGGGGAGTCAACCAGTAGATGAAAGACCTTTCTCTCTCTCTCTCTGTAACTCCACCTGTCAAATAAATATTTTTTAATAAATGATATCTGAACATTTTAAGGCTCTTCTAAGTGGTAACTGTGAGGATTTTTTAAGATAATACACTTGTGGAAGTGGGGGTGCTCATACCACAAAATATTTTAAAACGAAACATCCAAAATATAAAGATTGACACAAGGCTCTATGTGAACAAATCACTAACTCAAGATGGTGTCAGGACACCCTCTTGTGGCTTCCAATGTATCAGGGAGGGAAAAAGCCCAGCCACACCAGAGAGCAAAAGATACATGCTGTATTTTATAACTTTCACAAACTTGTATGCTTTTCTATTCTGTGCCAGGTCCTACTCCTACTAGGACTGAGGGTTCTTCTAAATCTCTTTTACTTTATTCTGGCTATGCTAGCATGCATGAATATTCACTTATTTGGGATGAGTCACACGCAAAAGTTCTGAGGTAATAGACTGAAACTAGTTTTTCAAACAGGTCTTTATCCCCTGGGACGGAGTGAAGGGGCTTGCTTGCGGAAGGGCTGTGATTCTCCCTTTCCAGCAGTTGATCGGTTGATCAGCGCGTGGTTCCCAGAAATAGCACCGCCCTGCAGCCCCGACTTTCCCAGTGACCTTGGGCACCCGATAATCCACAAGGGCTTCATTCATCCACTTAACAAAGATTTGAACCCCAGTTGTGCAGGTTACAAAAAGGAGTTAAGGCCGGAGACTTTAGCCCCTCACAAGCCCACTTTTTCTAATTTGTAAATTGGAACTAACAACCTCGACCGGTTGTCAAAAAAGATTAAACACATGACCACATTTTTAAAGTGATTGTTTTTGAAATGGTGTTCACAAATATATTTTTGCTCATTTATTTATTTTGGAGGCCCCACTGGGATTCCTTTAATCCTCCCTACATCTGTTCCCAGAAACTCAAGGTCAGAACACGATTTAAATAATCGAAACCAATCTCCAGAAACTTTACATTCATTCCACCAAGATTTCCTGACCCAACGAACCGGGCGGAGACCTAAGGATTGACTCACGGACCTTCAAGGGGTCCTCCCTCAAGCCCGGTAACGAGCATCCCAGCTCTGTGAGGTTCTCGGGCGTCGCAAAAGCCACGACGCGGTCCCGCTCTCTCCGTCCCCCACAGGCTGCTGGCTTATTTAGGGTTACAGAACGCCATCTGCCCGGCCTAATCCGGACAAGGCCATTGTCGCGCGTCCCCGGGAGGGGCAGGGTGGGGAGAGGGTGACTCTCGCGGGCGGCGCGCCTTCCACTTCTTCCAGGGCGGGAGGGAGGGCTGGGGACAGGCAGGTCAAGGTCGTCGCGCAGCCAGGCGGGCCGCAATTCCAGCGACTGGAAGCCCCCGCCGCGCTCCGCAGGGGCCGCACCCTGCTCGGGAGCGGCCCGCGGCGGCGCAGAGAAGCCGGCAGGGGGCGCGGGCCTCGGGGCCACCCCCGGGGCTGCCGGCCGGTGGTCCCTCCCAAGCCCGGTGTGCCGTGTGGCCGCGCAGCCCGGTCCCCTGCCCCCAACTCACCTCGTCACCTCCCCGCCCTTTCGGCGGGCCCCTGAGGTGCGCGGCGCAGGCGCGGAACGAGGCAGTGAGTGCGGCCGCGGAGCTGGGGCCTGGCGGACAGGGCGTGGGGCGCGCGCAAAGGAGAGGGGCTGGCCCGGCTGAGTGCCCGGGAGCGCGAGAGCCAGAGCGCCGCCGCCGTGCGCCCGCCGCCTTGCGCCCGCGGGTAAGGCCGCACCGCCCCTCAGAGCTACGCCCGGACCGGCCTGGCGGGCCCGCAGGCACTGGTGAGTGTGAGGGAGGAGCGGGCGGACTGGGCGCTAGACCGCTGCAGGGGACGCAGGCGTGCGGGCGCATCTCCCGACGGGAGAGGGCTGGAAAGACCGGATGGCTTGTTTGAAACTGAAACCCTGTCTTCGTTTTACGGCGGGAGGGCTTCCCCTCCCCCATCCCGAAGGCAGTTCCAGGCCCGGCGAAGGACGCCTCGGCCCCACCTCGCCTCGGCTCTCAGCTGCTGCTTTCCTTACAGCTCCCTTGGGGTCGGGGCTTCAGCGTGCCCTCAGCTCTGGCCGTCAGTCGCAGGCCCGGCGAGGCGGGTGCGTGGCGCTGGGCTGGCGGCTACTGGTCCGGGCGACTCCTGCCGGGCCCGGTGGAGGGCAGCTGAGCTTGGGCCTCTGGGCTCCGGCCGCCCTAGGGTGCCACGCTGGCCCCCGGCACTGCCCGGCGGCTTCGCGGCCCTCCCGCGCCGCAGCCCGCTGCGCTCCGCAAGTTGTCGCCGCGGGAAGCGGGCATCGGCCCTGCCACCCAGAGACTCCCCTCTCGCTCGGGTGCTTTTAAGCCCTTTCTGGTTTTGCTTTCAAGTAGGGCCTAGGGACACGAGTCCTTTGAAGAAGCTTATTTCTGCAAAGAGATAATAGAGTCGTGCCTGAACAGTAGCTATTCGAATATTTGACCAGGTATTTTCAGTACATTCGCTGACATGTGGAGGGCTCTAGTTGAAGCTCCTATGCAGCCATTTTTATGTTTTGTTTCTTTTAAAATCTAGAAAATATATACTTTTATTAGGATGAAAAGGAAACTTTAGCCCTGTTAACTCGTTTAAAATGTGCCTTTTTTTTTTTTTTTTTTGCGAAGACTTACTATACATGTTAGGAAGAAAGACCACGTTGCCTGAAAGGCCTATAAAAGGTTCAGTGATTTGATAAACACTATCATGGGTATTGTGTTTTTTGTGTATATATATTCTTGTGTGTGTGTGTGTGTGTGTGTTTTAAATGACATACCTGGACAACCGTACATATTTGGTTGGGGCCGTAACTAGTTGGGTTGGCTCAGGAATAAATATATGAAACCTTAGAAAACAAAAATGACAGAGGCTGGCGTGTATTGTGTAAGGTGCTTAAAAAAAAAGTTTCCTGTGGGATGATGCCATATTTTGTAAGTTTAAAATATAAACTCATAGGAAAAAGTAAAATAAAAAAAGTAAAAATAAAAGCATAGGAAAAAGTCTAGATAATATACAACAAAATGAACAGTGGGTGAATGGATTCTATTTTTGTTATGTTTTAATCTTCTGATATTCCTGCAGTAGTAGCATGTTATGTGCATAGGGTGTATGAGTAAAATGCCAAACGTGTTGATTATGCATGCAAAAGGTACATAAAAATGTTTGGTGAAGTGAAGAGTGGTTAGCAGTTTTGCTCTGGAGGGGCATCTTACTACTGTGCTGAAAGGAGGTCTAATAAGCATTTTTCAATGTTGTTTTGACTTAAGTAGGAGTTGAACCCTCTATGATCGGTGGTCCTACTTTTCTATCACTTCACAGTTTGAGTCCTGGCTGGCTTACAACACTGGTTTTAATACATGCTTGATTTCCTCTTTCTTATTCAAGCCCTAAAGAAATTGAAATGTATTCTGAAAAAATAACAGTTTTTAGTGTCTTCTTGATGCTTTTTTTTTTTAAGAAGGATTTATTTTATTTATTTGAAAGGCAGAGTTACAGAGAGAGGTAGAGATAGAAAGAGGTTTTCCATCCATTGGTTTACTCCCCAGATGCCTATAAGAGCCAGGAGTTTCTTGGTGTCCCACGTGGGTGCAGGGGCCCAGGGACTTGGGCCATCCTCCACTGCCTTCCCAGACACATTAGCAGGGAGCTGGGTTGAGAGTGGAGCACCCAAGACTCGAATCAGCACCCATATGGAATGCCTACTGCAGGCTAGCACTTTAACGCACTGCATCATAGCATCGACCCCCCCCCCTTCTTTTCAGTTTATTTTTTAAATATTGTTTATTTGAAAAACAGAGTCACAGAGAGATAGAGGCAGACAGAGAGAGACAAGTCTTCCACTGGTACACTCCCCAGATGGCTGCAATGGCCAGAGCTAAGCCAATCTCGAGTTAGGAGCCAAGAGCTTCTTCCAAGTCTCCTACGTGGGTACAGGGACCTAAGGACTTGGGACATCTACTGCTTTCCCACACCATAGCAGAGCGCTGGATCAGAAGTAGAGCAGCCAGTACTCGAACAGGCGCCTATATGGGATGCCAGCATTCAAGGTGGTGGCTTTACCCACTATGCCACAGCACTGGCCCCTCTATACTTTTAACACAGGTAGAACATGAAGTGTGAAGCATATCACAACATTTCTGTTAATCTCATGGTTGTCAGTTTCTTTAGGTGATTCTCTTCCCTTCATCACAACTGGTGACGAAGTAAGAACTGAAAGCAAAATGTAACTTGCTGGGGCAGTGCTTAGCAGTGAAGATTTACATACGTAAAATGCTCAGGAGTCCGAAGACATGAGTTTTCATTCCTGGTTCTGCCACTTTGTTGACTTGGCTTTCACTGAATCTGTTTCCTCATCGGTAAAAATGAGGTGGGTTTGGTAGAAGTTCCTTTGGGTACCCCATAGGATTGTTGTGATGATGAAATAGAATAAGGATTAGAAGAATGCTTAATGAACTGAAAAAACACTGTCTTATTACTATATGAGTGCATAATAGATGTTCAGTAAATTATTGTTATTTTAACTTGTGTTATTAAATCTACGAGAATCTTAACAGTGAAAAGTCTTAGACTTAATGTTTGCTTTCATGTACCTATTTTTCCTTATAGCTGAATAAATTATGCAAATTTATATTCCTATTTTGGTGTCAAGATTTAGCTTTAGAAGGTAAATTTGATTTCCAAAAAATAAGAAAAGTTTGCATGTAACACATACTTAGCAACATATACAATTTTTACTAGTAAGTATAATATATTCAAAATAATATTATACCTGAATTCATTCTGTATAACTTTCCAGCTGACTAAAGGTCTGGTACCATGATATTCCTGAATCTTGGAAATGAGCCACATTTTTGTTGATATAATTTCTGTCATGGTTTACTTACAGGCATTTTTTACCATATGAGGACACTTCCCTGTAATTCGTTTTTTTTTCTCACTACAGAATTAAGAATTATACCAAGTAAGTAAAATGTGGTGAAACTAGTTAATTTTTAACAGTTCATTGGCATTTAATCATAAAGTAGTTACTATACCTGTTCTGTTCAAAGTAGAATATTTAATGTGATTATATAAAAAAGGAATTTTTTTAAATTATATTTTGAGATTCTGTGTGTCAATGCTAGTTTTCCTGGAAGCCATGGGGCCAATACAGATTTGTGACAGTATTTTTTAAGGAAATGTATCTTCTGTATGAAAATATTCCCAGTTGTAGGAAATATGCCTATAAGACTTTTCATTTATTTATTTGAAAGGCAGAGTTGCAGAGATGGAGGGAGATGCAGAGAGAGAAAGTGTCTCTGTCTGTTGGTTTATTCCCCAAATAGCTGCAAGCCAGGAGACTGGAATTCCACCCAGGTCTCCCATGTGGGTACAGGGCCCCAAGTGCTTAGGCCATCTGCTGCTGCTTTTCAAGGTACATTAGCAGGGAGCTGGATTGAAAGTGGAGCAGGGGCCGGCGCCAAGCCTTGCAGCGCTGGCACACCGGGTTCTAGTCCCGGTCGGGGCGCCGGATTCTGTCCCAGTTGCCCCTCTTCCAGGCCAGCTCTCTGCTATGGCCCGAGAGTACAGTGGAGGATGACCCAAGTCCTTGGGCCCTGCACCCCATGGGAGACTAGGAGAAGCACCTGGTTCCTGCCATCGGATCAGCGCAGTGCGGCGGCCATTGGAGGGTGAACCAACGGCAAAGGAAGACCTTTCTCTCTGTCTCTTTCTCTCACTGTCCACTGTGCCTATCAAAAAAAAAAAAAGAAAGAAAGAAAGTGGAGCAGTCAGGACACTCATATGTCTCAGGCAGCAGCCTAACCTGCTGCACCACAACACCATTTCCCTATTAAACCTAATATTAATGTGGTGCTATAGGCATTATGGGTTTTTTTATATATAATAATAATAATTTAAGTATAAAGTTTACTGTTATTTGGAACTATCCAGTTCTCACGATTACATCAACACTAAAAACCCAGGCAGAGCAAGGAGGAGCCTGACCTTGCCAGTCTTTTCTAGGTCCCATGGCAGGTTACAGGAGATCAATCACAAGGACAGTCCTGGGCCTCAAGCATTTTTTTTTTTTAATTAGTCATAGTATTTTGGGAAGTACAAGAAAACAAACAAAAGTTCTGCATTTAAACTTGACTGGGAAAGTAATCCAAAATTTCTATTATAAGGTAGATTTTCACATGGCACACATATTTCCTATTGCCTATAAATTCTTCACTTAGAAATAATTTTTATAACTATATCAACAGTTGTTAATTGTGACTTGCTACATGTTTTTTTCATTTTTTAGATTGAAAAGATATGAATGAGTATCCTAAAAAAAGAAAAAGGAAGACTTTACACCCTTCTCGTTATTCAGGTCAGTATATAACTGAGTTATTTTAAAGTTGTGGAATCCATCTACTTTCTCATAAATGATCAGATGAGATTTAAATGTCTGGATCAATTTTTAGGTAAGAGAACAATTTAAATAGATTTCCTAATATATATTTCTCATTGTCCATGTGCTAAGCTCACATCGGAACTTTACATATATTATTTTATTTAAAAAATTTTTTTAAAAATATTTTAATGTGTTTGAAAGGCAGAGAGAGACAGACCAAGAGAGGTTTTCCATTTGCTTATTCACACCCTAAATGCCCAAAACAGTGGGACTGAACAAGGCTGAAGCCAGAAGCAGGGGATTCAGTCTGTATCTCACATATGGGTGGCAGGGACCCAAGTACTTGAGCCATCACCACGGCCTCCCAATGTGTATGTTAGCAGGAAGCTGAAACTTGAACCCAGGCACTCTGATGGAATGTGGGCATTTAATGTGGCCTCTTAACTGCTGTACCAAGTACCCTCCTTCAGACTTATAGATATTTAAAGTTAGACAGTCAAGGTTATTTTTTTTAAATAATAATTGTCTCATTTAAAATATTTATTTGTTTGAGCAGCAGAGGGAGCTAGAGACAAAATGAGTTCTAGTTTACTCCCCAAATAACTGAAATAGCCAGGATTGGGCCAGACAAGAACTGGGAGGTAGGAACTCAATCTGGGTCTCCCTCATGGGTGGCAGGAACTCAACCACTTGAGCCATCACTTGGCTGCTTCCCAGGATGTACACCAGCAGGAAGCTGGAATTGAGCAGAGCTAGGATTGGAACTCAGGTACTCCAGTATGGGAAACAGGAATCTCAACTGGCATCCTACACACCAACCAAATGTCCACCTCCATGGTTGCTTTCTCATGTAGCCTATCTGATTCTCAAGCTGTGCTTAAGATACCTCAGTGAAACAAGTTTGCATTGTTAGGGGAGAGGGGGAAAAGGTGAGACTTCTCTTGTACGTTATTTTCAGTGGTGCAGTGGGTTAAAGCCCCAGCCTGCAGTGCCAGCATCCCATGTGGGCGCCAGTTCTAGTCCCAGCTGCTTCACTTTGGATCCAGCTTTCTGCTATGCCCTGGGAAAACAGTTGAAGATGGCCCAAGTCTTTGAGCCCCTGCACCCGTGTGGGAAACCCAGAAGAAGCTCCTGGCTCCTGATTTCAGATTGACTCAGCTCTGGCCATTGCGGCCATTTGGGAAGTGAACCAGCAGATGGAAGACTTCTCTTTTTCTGTGTCTCTGTCTCTGTAACTATGTCTTTCAAGTAAATAAAAATAAATCTTTTTTTAAAAAAAAGAAATTATGGCCGGCGCCGCGGCTCACTAGGCTAATCTTCCGCCTAGCGGCGCCGGCACACCGGGTTCTAGTCCCGGTTGGGGCGCCGGATTCTGTCCCGGTTGCCCCTCTTCCAGGCCAGCTCTCTGCTGTGGCCAGGGAGGGCAGTGGAGGATGGCCTGGGTGCTTGGGCCCTGCACCCCATGGGAGACCAGGAAAAGCACCTGGCTCCTGGCTCCTGCCATCGGATCAGCATGGTGCGCCGGCCGCAGCGCGCCGGCCGCGGCGGCCATTGGAGGGTGAACCAACTGCAAAGGAAGACCTTTCTCTCTGTCTCTCTCTCTCACTGTCCACTCTGCCTTGCCTCAGATATAAAGAACAGAAAAGAAAAAGAAACTTTCATTTTTTGTGATTGAGGTTGGTTCTGCTGTCTTGACATTATGAGAAAAGGGATCTTATTGATCATCTGTAATACACCTCCTGTACACATACGTGGTACATCTCAGGCACACCTGTTAGTCTCCTAACCTACCTGTTCTTTATATCTGAGGAAATTTAAGTCTGGTTCACTACTTTCTGGTCCTTCCCAGTCAAGATTTTAGTCAGAGTTGAATACTATATGTTATGTTTTCCCTGTATTTGTGGCATATCTTCTGGTAATTCTCTGTTTGTATAGCTAACACAGTGTTTATCATATTTATATTTTGTGATATTCTAATTATAAGACAAATATATCCTTGTATGTTTCAAAGTTTTATATATATATATTTAATTATTTTATTTATTTGAAAGGCAAGGTTACAGAGAGAGGCAGAGACAGAGAGAGAGGACTTCTATCCATTGTTTCATTCTCCAAATGGTTGCAATAACCAAGGCTGGGCCAGGCCAAAGCTAGGAGCCAGGAGCTTCTTTCAGGTCTCCCACATGGGTGCAGGGGCCAAGCACTTGGGCCATCCTCCACTGCTTTCCCAGGCGCATTAGCAGGGAGCTGGATCAGAAGTGGAGCAGCTAGGACTCAAACTGGTACCCACATGGGATGCTAGCACTGCAGGCCAGGGCTTTACCCCACTGTGCCACAGCAATGGCCCCTCAGTTATATATATATATAAAAGATTGATTATTTGAAAGGTAGAGTTATGGAGAGTCAGAGGGAGAGGGAGAAAGAAGTCTTCCATCTACTGGTTCACTCCCCAAATGGTGCAAATGACCAGAGCTGTGCTGATCTGAAACCAGGAGCTTCTTCTGGGTCTCCCACGTGGGTGAAGGGACCCTAGGACTTGGGCCATCTTCTACTGCTTTCCTGGGCCATAGAGAGCTGGATCGGAAGTGGAGCAGCAGGGACTTGAACTGGTGCCCATATGGAATACTGGCACTGCAGGCGGTTGCTTTACCCCCTATGCCACAGTGCTGGCCCCCAAAGTTACATTTTAAAGTGTGTTCATCTGTGGCTCTTTAAAAGCTTAGTGTCAATATTAGATCTGAAATGAAAATGCTTTAAAAATTTAGACAAATATACTTTCCTTATAGATACAATAATTAAAATTATGAAAATCTGTATGTTTGATGGCGGGATGGCTTACTAAATGTGTGTGTTTATTGTACTTGAATTTTTTCATTTTGTTTTATGTTCAGATTCTTCTGGAATAAGCCGAATTGCAGATGGATTTAATGGAATTTTTTCTGATCATTGTTATAGCGTCTGTTCTATGAGACAGCCAGACTTAAAATATTTTGACAACAAAGGTATAACTAATATTCTCCAAAATATTTTTCTTCAAATTACTTTTACATATTTTCCCCTATTTGAAGATATGGGTAAAATGTAATTGAGGATTTCAAAACAAACAACTGCTTATATATTAGTTAGAATATAAGAAAACAAAATAATTTTTAGCATTATTTCAGACATATAAATAAAAACCACACTCTCCTAAACCTGTTTTAGTTGGCTCAGAATTGGCAAAGCAGGAATGATCCAGAGTTGGGCACCTTGATGGTGAAAGATAAAGAATGGTGTTAATAAGCACGGTTCTTCCTCTCAGTCTGGAGGGCTTATACAAGGCAAGAACAGAGTGTGGCATGGTCTTTTTCAATCTTGCACTTTCTACTGACATTTCTAGAGCATTAGGTCAATGAAAACCTGTACTTTTCTCCTCTGCAACCATTGATACTTCCAGTTCCCTTAGGCTCCTCTTAGAAGCACAGAAACATAAAACATAAGGTCAGAGGCCTTGATATGAATTCATGTTTAGCTTACTGAAGAGATAATGCACACATACACACTCACACTTTTTCCTGTTAGCTGAGAGAAACTGAAAGAAAGAACATACCAATAGCAGCGAGCACATTTTGTGCCTATATCTTGGTTTCTAATACAGTTATTCAATAAATGGAACTAGAGCTCCTCATGGAAAAATTGATTTTAGACCTGAGGTAGAAAATATACAGGATGAGCCTGGACAATCTTGTAGTGCTGGAAAATAAGGAAGTGCTTAAAAAAAATCCCAAAACAAAACATGCAAACATGATCAGGTTGTATTGAATGAACCCAAAACCAACTGAAGAAGCTCCTAACAGCCAAAGCTGAAACCAGATGAGAAAAAATTGTTTTTTAAGTTATAACCCAACGTATAAAATAAATATCAAACCTGATTGAATAAATGATTAAATAAATGAATAGGAGGGATTGAATAAATAAATAGGAGGGAAGAGAAAACTCACACAGAAGAATTTCAAATAATTTTTGTAGATACTCCATTCTTGAGGTGGAACATAACTCTCCACTCCTTAATTGTGGGCTGCACATAATGATTTCCTTCCAAAAGGTAGAGTAGGGAAAACAAACTGCAGTGTTGATTGGAGACAGCATCAGCAGTTACAACAATCACAAATCTTGTTGATGGTGTGTAATCTTGATAGGAGGTGATAAAAATGGTAGATTACCTGCCTGCTCTACTTCCCATTGACCCATACTTCTAGTCTAATCCTGAGGGGGAAAAGAAACGTAAACATTCAGTTAGTGGAGCTTCTTACAAAATACATGACAAGTGATCCTCAGACCTGTGAGAAGTCATCAAAAGCAAGGATAGTGGGAAACTGTCCTAGCTGACAGTAGCCTAGAGAGACATGAGAGTTAATGTAATATGTATTTTGGGTGGGAACAGCTAGATAATGGGTAAAAACTGGCAAAGGAAATGTAGATAAAATATGGATTTTAGTAACAATAATGATGTGTTACTTTGGTCATTGTAAAGTTTGTTTATTTTCAACTACTAAAAGAAAGAGCCCTTCTGTCTACTGGTTCACTACCCAAATGCCAGCAACAGCCAGGGCTGGGCCTGGCCAAAGCCAGGAGCCCAGAACTCCATCTGGGTTTCCCGTATAGGTTGCAGGGGCTCTCTTCAGCTTGCATTAACAGGATCAGAACTGGAGTAGCCAGAAGTTAAACTGGCACTCTGTTATAGGATGCAGGTGTCCCAAGCAGTGGTGAGCCTGTTGTACCAGTGTCTACCCAGGCTCAGTAATTTATAGACATAACATCCTAAATAACTTCAAAAACAGTATTCTAGTCCATTTGGGCACAGAGGCAAAGGCAGTTGGTTATTTGGGGAGATTTTCTGTGTTTGGAATATACAGCTGATATCTCTTTTTCGTGGCTAAATATATATCCTTTCTTCCTATTGGAATTTAAAATTATATTAAAAATAATTTGTGCCTTGTTTTGTAATAGCTAATACTTGATGTGATAGATGTGTTTTTCCAAATCTCTTTTTACAGATGATGATTCTGATACTGAGACAGCAAATGAATTGCCAAAATTCACAGATGGAATCAAAGCCAGAAACAGAAATCAGAACTACCTGGTTCCCAGTCCTGTACTTAGAATTCTAGACCACACTGGCTTTTCTACAGGTTAGCAAAACTAGTTAATAGCATTGGCATTGTGTAGATGAATGAAAAAAAAAAAAAAAAAAACTGCAAACGGTAAATATCTTTTTGCCCAATTGTGTTTATCTAACAGATTTTACTTGGTAGTAGCAATATAGTAATGGGTTTGTTGTATTTCTTAGAAAAATCTGCTGATGTTGAAATTTGTGATGAAGAGTGTGATTCACCTGAATCTGTTAACCAGCAAACTCAGGAGGAGAGTCCTATAGAAGTTCACACTGCTGAAGATGTTCCAATTGCTGTAGAAGTACATGCAATTTCTGAGGATTATGATATAGAGACAGAAAACAATTCCTCGGAAAGTCTCCAAGACCAAACTGATGAGGAGCCACCGGCAAAACTTTGTAAAATTCTTGACAAGAGCCAAGCTTTGAATGTGACTGCCCAGCAGAAATGGCCTTTACTGAGAGCTAATAGCAGTGGCCTCTATAAATGTGAACTATGTGAGTTCAACAGCAAATATTTTTCTGATTTAAAGCAACATATGATCCTGAAGCATAAACGTACTGATTCAAATGTGTGTCGAGTATGCAAGGAAAGTTTCTCTACCAACATGCTTCTGATTGAGCATGCAAAATTGCATGAAGAGGACCCCTACATCTGTAAATACTGTGATTATAAGACAGTAATTTTTGAAAACCTCAGCCAACATATTGCGGACACCCACTTCAGTGATCACCTCTATTGGTGTGAGCAGTGTGATGTACAGTTCTCCTCAAGCAGTGAACTCTACCTGCATTTCCAGGAGCACAGCTGTGATGAGCAGTATTTGTGTCAGTTCTGTGAACATGAAACTAATGATCCTGAGGACTTGCATAGCCATGTGGTGAATGAGCATGCCTGTAAGCTAATAGAGTTGAGTGATAAGTATAACAATGGAGAACATGGACAATACAGCCTCCTAAGCAAAATTACCTTTGACAAATGTAAGAACTTCTTTGTATGTCAAGTGTGTGGTTTTCGGAGTAGACTTCATACAAATGTTAACAGGCACGTCGCTATTGAACATACTAAAATATTTCCTCATGTTTGTGATGACTGTGGAAAAGGGTTTTCAAGTATGCTAGAATATTGCAAGCATTTAAATTCACATTTATCTGAAGGAATTTATTTATGTCAGTATTGTGAATATTCAACAGGACAGATTGAAGATCTTAAAATTCATCTAGATTTCAAGCATTCTGCTGATTTGCCTCATAAATGTAGTGATTGCTTGATGAGGTTTGGAAATGAAAGGGATTTAATAAGTCACATTGCAGTTCATGAGACAACCTAATTTTTCTCTTTATTTTGATTTTCATAATGTTTTTGTAAAATAATAAATTGAACTTTTTTTTGGAGATGTTAAAATGGATGACTTTAAACGTGACAATGAGATTTGCCTTTAATAAGTTTTTAATTGCCCAGTTTTTTTGGCATTGCTAAATTAAATGCCAAATGTATAATTGTACCTTAAATATGGTATTTTCAATTGCATGTAGTTCATAGTTTTAACCGTTCTTGGTAATACCCATCCAGTTTCTTGCGCTCTGATTTTATGAATTAGAAAAAAACAGATGTATGGAAGAAACTAGTTACAGTTTTCCTTCCTTAACAATAGGTGCTATTAACTTTTAAACTCAAGACAAGCTCTGTTTTATGTGTATGAAATCATTGAATTATTGCACTGCCAGAACTGAAGTGCAACATAATATGTAATAAAGCCCACTGATAGTCCTATTCCCATCAGTAATTATCCCCTAGGCAATCAGTGCGCTCTGTGTGAATCTTTTAATAACACTAGCAGGCCAGTATTAGGGTAGGAAGAACAGTCTTTGTTTTTGGCTTGTTTTTTAAGCCCCTATCTATGTGTTGAATAATTTAAGACTGGGGTGAGGAGGAGATGGTAAGGGATTGGACAAAAAATTTAACCATTTCATAGCTAAGTCATAACACCTTTACATTTCATTTTCAGTTGCACAACTGTAAAGTCATGCCCAAACTTCTGATGTCAGATTATTGACTAAGAAGCCCACTGAATACGAATATAGTTAAATCTGAGAGTTAAGGAGTTACTGGCATGATAATGTATAAATTACTTCTGATAGTGTTAAACTAATGTTTAGCATCTATATTAGTTTCCTGGGGCTACCTAACAATTTACTGCTTACTGGATTGCTTAAATAGCAGAAATCTATTAATAATGTTATGGAGACCAGAAGTTCAAAAATCAAGATATTGGTAGAGTTGCATCCTTCTGAAGGCTGTGGTGAGAGAGGATCTATACCTCTTAGAAGAACACTTGTCATACTAGGGCTCTTCCTAGTGACCTCATCTTAGCTTGATAGTGATCCTATCACCAGATATGGTTAGATTCTAAGGGATGGGACTTAACATCGATTTGGGGTGAGCACAATTCAACTGCAGTTAGTCACAGCATCTGAAATAGCAGTATCAAGAAGACATTTATATCATTGCCCTTGAATTTAACAAGCATTGCTGCTAACAATATTATTGTCCAGTTATTCAATATAGTTGAGAAGACCAGTTTATGACCAGTGGTTTTCCCACTTCACAAACCATGGGAATTGTCTCTGTTGTGAAAATCACAGCTGCAACAAGTATTGTCAAAACTTTTCACTTTTATCTGTCTTGTTTTATGTGTACACCTGTTCCTAGAAACCCAGACCTTCTAATTTTAACATTCCTGGTAGGGCTGTCTTACACAAACATTTCTCAGAGACTTGAAATTTTAAGTTTAGATTTAAGGGAGTCTTAAAAACCAACTGATCTAAACTCTTGGGTTTCTGCTTTTTGTAGAAACAGAAAATTGGATGGTCCTGAGACCAAGGGCATATAACCTGTTAGTGGAATTCAGGTTATTTGGCTCACAGCCCAGTCTTGTTGCCGTTACTCTATACGACATTAACCTTTGTTCCTGTGTGTTTTTCGTGACTCTGACCTAGTTATTCACCTGGTTTCTTGATAATTCTGTTGCTTATACTTATTGATACACATCCAGCTTCAGGAATTTAATTTTCAGGAAACATTAAGTAATACCCTTTTTTTTTTTTTTAGTTTGTATTTTACTGAGTTATGTTTCATCAGGTGTTCATAATTAGATCAGAGATTGTGATTAAACTGCTCAAGATGTAAATCAATTTTAGAACCATATAATTCTGTGCTTTTTGATGAATCTGCAACATACAGTCACATCATACTGACAGTTTGTCCCATAAAAACTTTGCCATTAATAATTTTTAGATAAGTCTGTTGATCATAAGTCATTGAAGTAGTTGTATGTAATTTTAGCTTAATGAGCTTCACTTGAAAAAGCTTCCTAAATTTTTTAGCTACTTCTGAGGTTTTTGTTTTTGTTTTGTCCCTTCAGAACCATTTCCACTGCATTCTTTTGTGATTTGAATCAATTCTGATTTGAGAATAATACTACCTGAACTTATGGTGATATTAACACTACAATAGAATTCTTGGTAGCAGTAAACTTGAGTGATGGTCATCATTGTTTTTCTCATTTTTTTTTTCATCTCCCCTTGCAATGAATTATTACTTTTGGAATTCCAAAGGATTTCCCTGTACTCTATAATTATTTTATTTATTTAAAAGGTAGAGTTACAGAGAGAGGTCTTCCATCCACTGGTTCACTCCCCAAATGGCCACAGTGTCTGGGGCTGGGCCAGGCTGAAGTCAGAAGCTTTTTCTGGGTCTCCCATGTGGGTGCAGGGACCCAAGCACTTGGGCCACCTCCCACTGTTTTCCTAGGCCGTTAGCAGGGAGCTGGATCAGAAATGGGGTGTCAGCATCACAGGTGGCAGCTTAACCTGTTATGCCACAATGCCGGCCCCTCTATAATTTTTTTTTTTTTAAGAGTTACCTATTTTGAAAGAGAGACAAGGAGATCCATCTTCTATTTGTTGGTTCACCCAACAGATGGCTGCAGTGGGCACTGCTGGGCGAGGCCGAAGCTAGGAACCAGGAGCTTATTCCAGGTCTCCCACATGTATGGTAGGAGCCCAAAAACTTGGGCATCTTCACAGCTTTTCTGGGGCCATTAACAGGGAGCAGTATTGGAAGTGGAGCAGCGGGGACACAAAGGAGTGCCCATATGAGATGCCAGTGTCACAGGTGGCAGCTTTACATGCCACACCACAATGCCTCTAATCTCCATAACTTTAAAGTATGCACTACTCAGAGCCCTCTTCCTACTTATAAAATTTTTGCCAACATTACCACTTTAAATCACCTTTCTTGGATTTCTCTGAATGTCTTCATATATATTTTTTTTAAGATTTATTTATTTATTTGACAGAGTTACAAAGAGAGAACAGAGGCAGAGAGAGAGAGGGGTCTTCCATCTGCTGGTTCACTCCCCAGATGGCCGCAACAGCCAGAGCTGCGCCGATCCAAAGCCAGGAGACAGGAGCTTCCTCCGGGTCTCCCACGTGGGTGCAGGGGCCCAAGGACTGGAGCCATCTTCTACTGCTTTCCCAGGCCATAGCAGAGAGCTGGATTGGAAGTGGAGCAGCCGGGTCTGGAACCGGCGCCCATATGGGATGCCAGCGGTTCAGGCCAGGGCGTTAACCCACTGCGCCACAGTGCCGGCCCCATATGTTAACCAAAATCTCCATTTCACTAAATTTATCACCTATGATCAGGTGATTGTTGAATTGTTACATGTATAGTATAAATAGGCATTTTTTTAAAAATTGACATTAAGGGCCGGCAATGTGGCATAGTGGTTAAAGCCGCCACCTGCAGTGCCGGCATCCCATATGGGCGCTGGTTCGAGTCCCGGATGCTCCACTTCTGAACCAGCTCTCTGCTATGGCCTGGGAAAGCAGTAAGAGATGACCCAAGTCCTAGGGTCCCTGCACCCACGTGGGAGACCCAGAAGAAGCTCCTGGCTCCTGGCTTTGATTCGGCGCAGCTCCGGCTTTTGCAGCTAATTGAGGAGTGAACCAGTAGATGGAAGACTCTCTCTCTCTCTCTTTCTGCCTCTCCTTCTCTTTGTAACTCTGACTTTCAAATAAATAAATCTTTAAAAAATAAAAATTGACATTCTTAATTTTTATATCTATTTATAAGACATTAAAGCTAATAAGCTCATTCCTGACACTTTTCCATTAATGTTATTTTCCTTGTTGTGTCCTAACTACATTTTGCAAGCTGTTTGTGTTTCCCAAACTACTGTAATTAACTTTAATGCCTAAAAAAAAAGCACTATATGTTACGTACATTTGAAAAAGCTAAAAAAAATGAAATGGCCAAATCCTCTTGGGAAGTAGATTGGCTTACCAAAAAGTCAATATTCATTAAGAATTAAAAATAAAGTCAACTGTTAATTCCAATGGAGAAGCAAATTTAGTCAGTTGAATTTACCCTACTGTTAACACAGTTTCATTTCTATAAATTAAAACTGAAATTTTGTAATATAAATTCCTATGCCTGTAACTTTTAACCTCACTTATGATGTTAAAGATAGGGTATCAAAAGAAATTTTTTAAGATTTATTTGAAGGGCCGGCACTGTGGTGCAGTGGGTTAACACCCTGGCCTGAAGCGCCAGCATCCCATATAGGCGCCGGTTCATGACCTGGCTGCTCCACTTCCAATCCAGCTCTCTGCTAATGGCCTGGAAAAGCAGTAGAAGATGGCACAAGTCCTTGGGCCCCTGCACCCACGTGGGAGACCCAGAAGAAGCTCCTGGCTCCTGGCTTTGGATCGGCACAGCTCCAGCCATTGCAGCTGATTCGGGCTGAACCAGCGGATGGAATACCTCTCTCTGTGTCTGCTTCTCTTCTCTCTGTGTAACTCTGCCTTTCAAATAAATAAATAAATCTTAAAAAAAGAGATTTATTTACTTGAAAGGCAGAGTTACAGAGAGAGAGGTAGAGAAAGTTCTTCCATCCAGTGGTTCACTCCCCAAATGGCAGAAACAGCCAGGCTGGGCCAAGCTGAAGCCAGGGCTTCTGGTTCTCTCAGGCGGGTGTAGGGGCTTACGCACTTTCACTGCTTTTCCAGGTGTATTAGCGGGGAGCCAGATCAGAAGTGGAGCAGCCAGGACTTGAACAGGTGCCCATATGGGATTCCAGCGTCACAGGCCACAGCTTAACCTGTTATGCCACAATTCTGGCCCCTTCATATTTTTTTTAAAGATTTATCTAATTTGAAGGTAATAATTAGAGAAAAGAAGAGACAGATCTATTTGCTGGTTCACTCAACAGATGGCTGCAGTGGCCAGCACTGGGCAAGGCCAAAACTGGGAGCCAGGAGCTTCTTCAGGGTCTCCCATGTGGATGGCAAGAGCCCAAAAACTTGGGCCATCTTGCCTGTTTCTCCCAAGCACATTAGCAGGGAAGCTGGATCAGAAGTGGAGCAGCTGGGACTTGAATCAGCATCTGAATGGGATCCAGAGTTGCAGGCAGCAGCTTAACCCACTAAGTCTCAATGCTGATGCCACAAGAAAGCTTTTATTAATGGCACTGAGTTTATAGATTTACATATTTTATGTATTAATTTAATTTTCCATAGATTAATTTTTTAAGATTTATTCATTTGAAAGGCAGAGTCACAGAGAGAAAGAAGGAGAAACAGAAGGAGAGATCTTTTATCCACTGGTTCAATCCCAAGCGGCTGCAATTGCCAGGGCTGGGCCAGGCTGAAGCCAGGAGCTAGGAGTTTCTTCCAGGCTCCCCCATGGATACAGAGGCCCAAGGACTTTGGCCATCTTCCTCTGTTTTCCCAGACACATTAGTAGGGAGCTGGATAGGAAGTGGAGCAGCTGGGACTCAAATTGGCACCTATATGGCATGTTGACACTCTAGATGGCAGCTTAACCCACTGCACCACAGCACCAGTCCCCATAAATTAGTATTTTAAGACACTATTCAAATCTAAGAGAAAAAGATGTGCATGTCTGTGGCTTAAAATATAAATTCCCAAAGTTAAAAGCAGTCACATGTCATTTTCATGTTTTTATGAAGCTGTATATTCAGTTTGAAAGTTTAGATGTGAAGAGTTTAAGAACCTTTCAAGCACTGTGGCATATTAGGTTAAGCCTCCACCAGTGGTGCCAGAATCCCTCATTGGCACCAGTTCAAGTCCTCACTGCTGCTCCGCTTCCAACACAGCTCCCTGCTAATGCACCTGGAAGGCAGTGGAAGATGGCCCAAATGCTTGAGCTCCTGCACCCATGTGGGAGACCTGGAAGAAGGTCCTGCAGCCATTTGGGGAGTGAACCAGCAAATGGAGGACTTCTCTCTCTAACTCTGCGTCTCAAATAAATAAATCTTTGTGAGATTTTTTTATTATTATTATTATTTAAAGATTGTTTAGTTGAGAGGTAGGATTACAGAGAGAGAAAGGGAAAGACAGAGAAAGGTCCTCCATCGCTGGTTCACTCCCCTAATGGCCACAATGGCCGGAGCTGCCAGAGCTGGGCCTATCCGAAGCCAGGAGCCAGCAGCTTCTTCTGGGTCTCCCACGTGAGTGCAGAGGCTCAAGCACTTGAGACATCTTTCACTGCTTTCCCAGGCCATAAGCAGAGAGCTGGATCAGAAGAGGAGCAGCTAGAACATGAACTTGTGTCCACATGGGGTGCCAGAACTGCAGGTGGAGGCTTAGCCTACTATGCCATAGCGCCATCCCCAGTACATAAATATATTTTTTAAGAAAGAAGAACTCTTCAGAGTGTTTAGAATATACATACTGTTGATCTGAAAAGCAATTTTCTGGATGAATATTTGCCATATTACCAGTAACCAGAACTTCCTTTTCATTCTCTTTTTAGTAACATTGGAGTTAAACTGGTGACTACTGGAACCCAAAATGAACTTGTAAAAAGAAATTTTCTCATTCTAGAAACAACTTTCTCATTTGCAAAACAGGAATATTATATCCTAATCTAATTTAAGAGAAGTGATTACTTGGGACATTTTTAATTAATTCGGATGTTTTAATTAGTGTTATCACAACTTTTGAAAGTTTATTGTTTGTTTTTAGATAGGCAAATGAATCTTACCTGGATAATCTTTTATTTTTTCTTGTTAAAAATACAGAGTAACTTATTTCATGAAAAATGTAATGAAAAATACATACTTTTAATGAAAACTCAGAAGTTTTCTAGTTTTTTATATCTTAGGCAGATGGTGTCCACTATCGAAAAATATTGCAATTGAGGGGGCTGGCGCTGTGGAGCACTGGGTTAACACCCTGACCTGAAGCACCGGCATTCCATATGGGCACCAGTTTTAGTCCCGGCTACTCCTCTTCTGATCCAGTTCTCTTCTATGGTCTGGGAAAGCAGTAGAAGATGGCCCAAGTCCTTGGGCCCCTGCACCCACGTGGGAGACCTGGAAGAAGCTCCTGGCTCCTGGCTTTGGATCGGCACAGTTCCGGCTGTTGCGGCCATCTGGGGAATGAACCAACGGATGGAAGACCTCTCTCTCCCTCTGCCTCTCCTCTCTGTGTAACTCTGACTTTCAAA